CAGTAGGTCTCGGCTCCATTTCTAGGCGGCACAGACCCAGGCTGCTGGCTCCATTCCCAGTGGAGGGCGTGCAAGAGGCAGCCAATCAATTTTTCTCTCTCGTCCATGTTTCTCTCTCTCCCTCGCCCTTCCTCTAAAATTAATAGCATTTTTATTTTTTATTTATTGTTTAAAATTTAATAACATTTTTAAATAAATTACAATGCAGTTCCTCAGTTATAGCTGAGCCATAAAGAGCCACAGATGTAGCGTCAGGGATGCTCTGAGAATTTCATTCCTCCTCTCGGGGTCCGGAAGGGAAGGAGGTAGGCATCACTCGGGTTTTGTGGTGGTCCTCTGACTTGTGAGCAGGTGCGATTGGCCTTGCTGTGTGAAAGGTGCAGTGGGGCCCCAAGGTGGTGGCTAGTGGGATTCACCTGCCCTCCCCCGAGCCCAGGCAGTTATGAAGCTACCTGCCCTTGGCCTGAGGACTTCCGGTGCCCTGCACATTCCTTAGTCTCCCTGGCTCCCGCTGTCAGGGTAGCGCCCAGCGGTGGCCGAGGCTGGCTGTTCTCCGAGCAGGGCAGGCACACCTGAGCTGTTGAGTATCACTGCTTTTCGTGCTAGCAGTTTCTAAAATAACTGCCTCCGGAAATGGGCAGGAAACTGATGTCTTGTTTAGGACCAAGTTGTAAATTTTTACTTAAACATTTTTAAATAATCCTTTATTAATTTTGCAAAAAGAAACACGGTTCTATAAAGCAGGAAGACAACTGAAGGCCATTTCCCAGAATGGGAGGTTTTCAAGCAAACTTCATTTCAGTGATGTTGTTATTAGGAGAGTTGCACTTCCATGTTTTCAATAATGTAGAGTGTACGCAAGCCACTGATGGAAACAGTCTTTCTTTTTAAAGATTAAACTATTGAGCCTGTTATCTGAGCAGATGTGCACAGTCTAGGTCAGCCGTGGGCAAACTACGGCCCGCGGGCCGGATCCGGCCCGTTGGAAATGAATAAAACTAAAAAAAAAAAAAAAAAAGACCGTATCCTTTTATGTAATGATGTTTACTTTGAATTCATATTAGTTCACACAAACACTCCATCCATGCTTTTGTTCCGGCCCTCCGGTCCAGTTTAAGAACCCATTGTGGCCCTCGAGTCAAAAAGTTTGCCCACCCCTGGGCTAGGTCCATTATTTGAGTTCCCATCTTCACATTCTGGACACAAATGCCAATAAAATCAACAAAGGAGGCCCAGAAGGGCACTGGTGTCAGGAATCAGGCGAGCGTGCCACCAGCAGAGCGCTGCCAGCGACATCATGCTTGCACCAGGCACCTCCTGCTCGCCCTGACGGTGAGCTTCGGACTCCCGGCCTCCATGTCTCCACTGCAGCATGAACTCAGGCCTAGCATCTGACCCTGACCTTACCTCTCCTGTCTCCAAAAGAGCTAGACTACAGCAGGCTGGCAGGATGGATTAGTTCATCCTGGGCCTTGGGGGTGTTGATTTCTCTTCAGGAGCACTCATGGGAGATGCCCATCCTGGGTCCCACGGGGAGGGAGCTTTCACTCTGGGATTTTTTGCAGGTGAGAGGAAAACTCAGTGTCATGCAGGTCACTGCCTTTAGACCCTCTCCTGAGAACACCTGGACCCTGGAGAGGCAGACCAGGAGTCATCACCAGGCCCCAGGATGCCATGGGGTTGCCTTGCCCACCCTCTACTCAGGCTCCAGACGAAGCAGGACAAGGCAGGCCCAGCTCACCCAATCCTGTCCCCTCCCTCCGCAGCCATACAGGCCCTGAGCTCCGCTCTGGCCCCAGAGTCCCACCCATGGGTAAAGACTGAGGCAAGGACGTGACAGACTAGGCGGCTGATGTAAGAGCAAGGAAAGCTCAGGTTGGTTTTGAGTTCACATTGCAGCCAGCTTTTAAGAAACTACCCCTCATCAAGCTTCAGTTTGGTATTAAGGAATGAGTATTAAAATACCCATTCCTTTTCCAACAGCCATTGATCTCCATGAAGCCAGGTTTTTTCATATACTTCAACCGTTCCAGTTACTTTTTCCATTGTTTTTAATTTTAAAGTGTTATGCTAGCCCTAGCCGGTTTGGCTCAGCGATAGAGCGTCAGCCTGCAGACTCAAGGGTCCCGGGTTCGATTCCGGTCAAGGGCATGTACCATGGTTGCAGGCACATCCCCAGTAGGTGGTATGCGGTCATTTCTAAATGAGTTAATATTATTTTTAATTTGAGTTCTAATTCCTAATGTGACAGCTGTTGATTCGTATAACCCACATCAACAAAGCTCTTTGGAGGTTCTCCATGAATTTTTAAAATTGTAAAGGGTCCCTGAAACCTAAAAGTTGGAGAAGTTGCCAAAAACCGGTTTGGCTCAGTGGATAGAGCGTTGGCCTGCGGACTGAAGGGTCCCAGGTTCGATTCCGGTCAAGGGCATGTACCTTGGTTGCAGGCACATCCCCAGTGGGAGGTGTGCAGGAGGCAGCTGGTCGATGTTTCTAACTCTCTATCCCTCTCCCTTCCTCTCTGTAAAAAATCAATATAAATATTTAAAAAAAAAGTTGGAGAAGTTTTCTCAAAAGTCCTAGTACATCCATAAATAGGTGATTGTGCAGCCACTGAGGTGACACTCGTGGAGATGCAGGCAGAGTGCCAACGTGGCCAGCAGCCACCAGGGCCCCACCCCCTTGCTCCCAGCTCTGAGGGGAAACGGGGGAAACGGCTCTGTGTCATTCACACACTCATTCCTTAACGCTGCCTTTGTCACTAGAACTACTCCTAATTGTGGTGGTAAAACAGCTTGATCACAGGCTTCCATGGGAGTTGCGGCTCCTTCGTAGCCAGGCTGTAGCTCGAAGCCTGATCCCCACACACAGACGCAGGACACTGGGACGGTGCAACTGTTTCTTAAACACACAAGTTTGTTTTTCTTTAATTGCTCATTTGATTTAGTTTTTAAGTTCACTTTCACTACAGGATGAGATGGGTGCATTTACACTAGGCTTCCGCGATGAGAGCTGCCGCAGCTAAAAGAAACTCAGCCTTCAGCTCCCCTTCCACATCCCTCTGAGTCCCACCAAAGCTGCAGGCGGACATTGCTGGGCTCACTCCTCGCTTATCCCTCCTGGGAGGCTGTCTCCATGGGGACGAGGAGGCCTGGGTCCCTACCTCCCCCTAAGCCCCGGGGATCAGCTTCCACCCTGATCCCTGGCTGGGCCCCCATTCATTTCTGCAGGAAGGAAGCTGGGCTCTGGGGGCTGCAACCACCTGGTATCTGAGGCACTGGCTCCGGGTCCTGCAAGGACTTGTAGTCTGTCCCCTCCTGCTCTCCACCAAGAGGATAGTCAGCAGGGACCCTGCCGCCAGTGCCCAGCGGAGGGGTGGGACTGCCCGGCATAAAGCCCTACATGTCCCTGCCACCACTGCTGGTCACCATCACATCCACTAAGAGGACGGCCAAGAGGGGACCCGGCCACCACCCGGCCTGGTGCCTGAACCGAGGGACCTTGTGCCCCACCCCCACCCCGCCCGTGACTCCTCCAAGGAGAGCCTGTGGCCAGCGGCTGCCCCGGGACTGGACAGCTCAGAGTGCGGAAAGAGAAGCATAAAGCTGGGAGTGTGGGAGGAGAGGGGAGGAGCGGGAACAAAATGTTCATCTAGAGACAGAGCTGAACAAAACAAAAACAAAACCCGAATGTGTTCCTGTCTCGGCTCAGGATCCAGGCGCTGTGGTGTCCAAAGCCCCTTAGCCGGACATCTCCTCTCGCTGCTCCTTGTTCCTGCGCACCTCGGCTGCAGCTCCT